TTGCTATTGTTTTCTTTGTTTCTATTTCATTTATTTCTGCTCTGATCTTTATGATTTCTTTCCTTCTACTTACTTTGGGTTTTGTTTGTTCTTCTTTCTCTATTTAGGTGTAAGGTTAGATTGTTTATTTGAGATTTTTCTTGTTTCTTGAGGTAGGATTGTATTGATATAAACTTCCCTCTTAAAACTGCTTTTGCTGCATCCTATAGATTTTGGATCATCGTGTTTTCGTTGTCATTTGTCTCTAGGTATTTTTTGATTTCCTCTTTGATTTCTTCAGTGATCTCTTGGTTATTTAGTAACGTATTGTTTAGCCTCCACGTGTTTGTGCTTTTCACATTTTTTTTCCATGTAGTTTATTTCTAATCTAATAGCGTTGTAGTCGGAAAGATGCTTGATATGATTTCAATTTACTTAAATTTACTGAGGCTTGATTTATGACCCAAGATGTGATCTATCCTGGAGAATGTTCCGTGTGCACTTGAGAAGAAAGTGTAATCTGCCGTTTTTGGATGGAATGTCCTATAAATATCAATTAAATCTATCTGGTCTATTGTGTCATTTAAAGCTTGTGTTTCCTTATTAATTTTCTGTCTGGATGATATGTCCATTCGTGTAAGTGAGGTGTTAAAGTCCCCCACTATTATTGTGTTACTGTCAATTTCCTCTTTTATAGCTGTTAACATTTGCCTTATATATTGAGGTGCTCCTATGTTGGGTGCATATATATTTATAATTGTTATATCTTCTTGGATTGATCCCTTGATCATTATGTAGTGTCCTTCCTTGTCTCTTGTAACATTCTTTATTTTAAAGTCTATTTTATCTGATATGAGTATTGCTATTCCAGCTTTCTTCTGATGTCCATTTGCATAGAATGTCTTTTTCCAATCCCTCACTTTCAGTCTGTATGTGTCCCTAGGTCTGAAGTAGGTCTCTTGTAGACAGCATATATATGGGTCTTGTTTTTGTATCCATTCAGCCAGTCTGTGTCTTTTGGTTGGAGCATTTAATCCATTCACGTTTAAGGTAATTATCGATATGTATGTTCCTATGACCATTTTCTTAATTGTTTTGGGTTTGTTTTTGTAGGTCCTTTTCTTCTCTTGTGTTTCCCACTTAGAGAAGTTCCTTTAGCATTTGTTGTAGAGCTGGTTTGGTGGTGCTGAATTCTCTTAGCTTTTGGTTGTCTGTAAAGGTTTTGATTTCTCCATCGAATCTGAATGAGATCCTTGCCAGGTAGAGTAATCTTGGTTGTAGTTTCCTCCCTTTCATCACTTTAAGTATATCATGCCACTCCCTTCTGGCTTGTAGAGTTTCTGCTGAGAAATCAGCTGTTAACCTTATGGGAGTTCCCTTGTATATTATTTGTCATTTTTCCCTTGCTGCTTTCAATAATTTTTCTTTGTCTTTACTTTTTGCCAATTTGATTACTATGTGTCTCGGTGTATTCCTCCTTGGGTTTATCCTGTATGGGACTCTCTGTGCTTCCTGGATTTGGGTGGCTATTTCCTTTCCCATGTTAGGGAAGTTTTCGACTATAATCTCTTCAAATATTTTCTCGGGTCCTTTCTCTCTCTCTTGTCCTTCTGGGACTCCTATAATGTGAATGTTGTCACGTTTAATGTTGTCCCAGAGATCTCTTAGGCTGTCTTCATTTCTTTTCATCTTTTTTCTTTATTCTGTTCCACGGCAGTGAATTCCGCCATTCTGTCTTCCAGGTCACTTATCCGTCTTTCTGCCTCAGTTATTCTGCTATTGATTCCTTCTAGTGTATTTTTCATTTCAGTTATTATATTGTTCATCTCTGTTTGTTTGTTCTTTAATTCTTCTAGGTCTTTGTTAAACATTTCTTTCATCTTTTCAATCTTTGCCTCCATTCTTTTTCCGTGGTCTTGGATCATCTTCACTATCATTATTCTGAATTTGTTTTTTGGAAGGTTGCCTATCTCCACTTCATTTAGTTGTTTTTCTGGGGTTTTATCTTGTTCCTTCATCTGGTACATAGCCCTCTGCCTTTTCATTTTGTCTATCTTTCTGTGAATGTGGTTTTCGTTCCATAGGCTACAGGATTGTAGTTCTTCTTGCTTCTTCTGTCTGCCCTCTGGTGGATGATGCTCCCTCCCATGTACTTTAAATCCTCTCCAGATTACTTGCAATACCTAATAAAATGTAAATGCTCTGTAAATCGTTGTAAATACCATGTAAGTGGTATGTATATAGTTGTCAAAGTGCAGCAAATTCAAGTTTTGCGCTTTGGAACTTTCTGGAATTTTTTTCCTGAATATTTCCCATCCCCTGTTGCTTGAATCCCAGGATGCACAGCCTGAGGACACAGAGGGACGATTGTATATATATATTTATAATACACATATATAATATATCCACATTTTGAATTTAACCTTTAGACTGAGATGGCTCCAGCTGATATTTTCATGAAATAAGCTGAGTCAGGTGATTCTGGTTTAGGGTGTATTTGCAAACTGCACTGTCTATTGGGTGGTTGCCTCCATACCAGGCATGCCAGTAAAGTGCAGGAGCCCTGAGAGTGAGTTCCCTGTGTTTCCCGTTGTGAGCTGACGTTTGGTTTCCCCGGCTCACTGTGTGTCCTGATTATCGCAGAGAGAGAAGTAGCAGGAACTCCTTTCCCAGCAGCTATAAAATGCCAGTTAAATGGCTTATTTGCAAATTGCCAAATACAACCACTAGGTTATTTCTACACAAGAATTCCTGTGTAAGCAAATCTTCAGAACCTCAGGATTCAAATGAGGTGAACTAATGAAAAAGTCCTGGGATTAACAGATAAAACTATTGTACATAAAATAGATAAGCAATAAGGATTTACTGTATAGCACAGGGAACTGTATTCAATATCTTGTAATAACCTATAATGAAATATTATCTGAAAAAAATAACTGAATCACTATGCTGTACATCTGAAACTAACACAATATTGTAAATCAACTATACTTCGACTTAAAAAAAAAAGTCCTTGGCATCCAGACAGCCAAAAAGCACATGAAAAGATGCTCAACATCGCTAATTATTACAGAAATGCAAATCAAAACTACAATGAGGTATTACCTCATACCAGTCAGAATGGCCATCATCAGAAAGTCTACAAACAATAAATGCCAGAGAAAAGGGAACCCTCCTACACTGTTGGTGGGAATGTAAATTGCTATACTCACTATGGAGAACAGTATGGAGGTTCCTTAAAAAACTAAAAATAGAAGTACCATATGATCCAGCAATCCCACTCCTGTGCATGTATCTGGAGAAAACCATAATTCCAAAAGATACATGCACCCCAATGTTCATTGCAGCACTATTTACAATAGCCAAGACATGGAAACAACCTAAATGTCCATTGACAGAGGAACGGATAAAGTAGATGCAGTATATGTATACAATGGAATACTGCTCAGCCAAAAAAAAGAATGAAATAATGCCATTTGCAGCAACATAGATGAACCTAGAGATTATCATACTAAGTGAAGTGTCAGACAGAGAAAGACAAATACCATATGATATCGCTTAATGTGGAATCTAATAAAATGATACAAATAAACTTACAAAACAGAAATAGGGTCACAGATATAGAAAACAAACTACGGTTACCGGGTGGAAAGGAGATTGGAGGGATAAATTGGGAGACTGGGATTGACATATACACATTACTATATATAAAATAGATCACTAATAAGGACCTACTATATAGCACAGGGAACTCTTCTCAATAATCTGTAATGGCCTGTATGGGAAAAGAATCTAAAAAAGAGTGGATATATGTATATGTATAACTGATTCACTTTGCTGTACACCTGAAACTAACCCAACATTGTAAATCAACTATACTCCAATAAAAAGTAAAGAACTCTTTAAAAATGTCCTTGGACAAGTTAGCAGCTTCTTTTAAGTCAGGGCGCTGTGCTCTGCTCCGCTGAGCTCTGCCGGGAGCTGAGAGTTAAGACCTGGAGATTCCCGTCCTGATCCTGTTCCTGGAAAGTGTCGGGATTTTCAGCAAGTACTTTCACCTCTATCTCAGCCTCTGTGGCCTTTCTTCTTCTTGCTTGTAACCAGCATTGGTGTCCGGGATAGATCGGATGATCTCCACCCAGTTCTAAAAACTCAGGAGAGTATTGTGCTAGAAGGAAGCTCCTTATGGGAGGAGATGATCCTGAGGGAAAATGGCTAAAAACTAATTGCACTCATCTTTTACTTTCACCCTCCCCTGGGCACCTCCACTTTCTACTGTTCACTCCTGGCCTCCTAAGTTTCTGAGTCTTACAAGAATTTCCCACGAGGACTGTTTTTGGCCTGAAAGATACCCTCAAAACATCAAAAACCTTGAACCAAAAAAGGCAGACTACTTTTCATATTTAAACTGAAAAATGTTTAATGGCAGAAAAAAAACCCCACCAAAACCAAAAACCCTCCTTGACTGGGAAGTAGTAACAGGTTGAAAGTTTAATAGGACATGAGGAGAATTTGACACCTTGAGGGCAAGGGCTTGCTGCAGGCACACCAGGGATGGAGGTGAACATGGTATTTAGGGACCCCAACCTCCCCTCAGGCCTCAGGTTGCCTGGCCAGAGCACCCCAGCCAGGTCCCCACCCCCAGCCCCCTGTCAGTGCCCTGGGTTTGGTTAAAGAATGTGTTAATAAAAAATTACTCATGACACTGGTAAAAAATGTAGGGCTGACTCTGTTCAGTCGGGAACCAGCACCATGGTGTAGGGATGACTACACTGGAGGAGGAAGTCTAGTGGCAGCATTTTCCCAACAGCATCTGCTTACTTCATGTCTTTGTAGCACATTTTGCTAATTCTCACACTATTTCCAACTTTTTCACTATTATATTTGTCATGGTGATCTGTGATCAGTGATCTTTGATGTTACTGCTACGACTCACTGGAAGATAAGATGATGTTTAGTATTTTTTAGCAAGAAAGTATTTAAAAAAATGTTTTGCTGCTCAAAGGGTTAAATTTTTTTTCATAAAAATGGACTGCTTCATGAATTTGTGTTATTCTTTGTGCAGAAGCCGTGCAAGTTTTCTCTCTATCGTCCCAATTTTAGTATATGTGCTGCTGAAGCAAGCATTGCAATACACTTTTTTTTTTTCTTTTGCAGTACGGAGGCGTCTCACCGTTGTGGCCTCTCCCGTGCGGAGCACAGGCTCCGGACGCGCAGGCTCAGCGGCCATGGCTTATGGGCCCAGCCGCTCCGTGGCATGTGGGATCTTCCCGGACCGGGGCACGAACCCATGTCCCCTGCATCGGCAGGCAGACTCTCAACCACTGCGCCACCAGGGAAGTCCTTTTTTATTTTTTTCCTTGGTTGTGTTGGGTCTCCGTTGCTGCGCGTGGGCTTTCTCTACTTGCGGCGAGCGGGGGCTACTCTTTGTTGCGGTGCACGGGCTTCTCATTGCGGTGGCTTCTCTTGTTGTGGAGCACGGGCTCTAGGCATGTGGGCTTCAGTAGTTGCAGCACCCGTGCCCCCTGCATTGGCAGGCAGATTCTTAACCACTGCGCCACCAGGAAGTCCCAAGAAAGTATTATTAAATTAAGGTACGCACATTGTTTTTTAGACATAATGCTATTGCACACTTAATAGACTAGACTATGTATAGTGTAAACATTACTTTTACATGCACTGGGAAACCAAAAATACCATGTGACTTGCTTTATTGTGATGGTCTGGAACTGAACCTAGAACATCTCTGAGATATGCCTGTACCTGTTTTTGCAAACTGAAAGAAATTTGAAGGCGATTTTTAATTTTAAGAATAAAGGCAAAAAGCAAAAATAACAGATGCTTTATCTCGATTTATTTTGTGCATCTATTTGCAAGATGTGTCTTAAGGTCATTTCTTCTTTGCTTTATGCCATTTCAGCTTACGAAAGGTTTCATAAGAACGCTCTACTTGTGGATTGCAGGGGAAACCTGCACCTCTCAAAGCTCTCTATCTGGCGCACAGCTGCTGAGCTGTCCACTGGTAGGTGCTCCGTGGCACCTGGAGGACCTGCCCCAAGCAAAACTCTCATTTCAATAACTCACGCACAACTGCACCCTGCCTTTGCTTTTGTAAAGGGATTTACTAAAAAGGAATGTAGGGCCTTTGCCTTTAAATGTCAAAGCAATGTTTCTCTCTTTGAAAATAAAATCTTTCTTTTGGTTCTTCTGAAAGTTACTGATAAGACCAAAGGGGATAAAGCAGAGAAGGAACAAGGAGAAGAGAAACCGTGGCACCAGTGCCTGGAAAACGGCTCTCTGTGGGTGAAAAATGTTCCAGTTGTTTCTCCCAGGTAAGACTTGAAGCAAAGAAGTCATGCAGAAAAGCTCATGGAAAATCAGAGCAAAGTATTTTTAGGTGGTTGACCTTTTAGTAAGAGTAGTATCTCCTTTAAAAGGAAAAATTATCATAGAATGTTATGTTACTAATACTTGGAAGAGAGGCAGGAAGGTGGGGTGATAAGCCAGGGGTAAAAATATCCAGGTCTGTGGTATACACTTTGGGGGCCTGTGTGCCCAGAAGCTCGTCTTTCTGGACTGGCTGGTACTGGAGCTTTGCGCTTGCATCTGGTATAACTGCATCCCTTGCCTATCGGAATGTGTCTGCAGAACCATTTCTCAGTTCTCAAAATGTTCCCATACAGCCTCCCTCCCTCCTCCTCCTTCCTTGCCCCTTTCTTCCTTCTTATTTTCCTTACTGTCTCCAGGAAAAGAGAGGTGATGAAGCTTCCAGTTAAGAGCACAGACTTCAGTCATATTGGCCTGAATCTGAGTCTGGACTCTGCTACTTACTCTATGCGTGACCTTGGACAAGTTACTAAATTTCTCTGGGCCTCAGATTCCCCATCTGTGTAATGGGAGGAACAATAGTACCTGCTTCGCAGGGTGGTTGGGATAATTAAATGAGAGAGCACATGTAATGTGCTCAATAAAACTGAGTTCTCAGGAGAAAGGGAGGAGCTTGCCGAAACCTGCTGACTGTCTGCCCAAGGGGACATGAGTGCAGGATAAGCCAGCAGGTCTGGATGTCCAATCCAGACCTCCTTTGATTTTTGTATTTTCTGTTTTCACTCCAGTACTCCCTGACTTTATTCTGTTGTACCTGCGTGGATTATTTTGACAGAAGAAACTGAGCTAATCCCACTCTGTGTTCTGCAAAATTCTCTGATAATAGGTTTTTTTTCTCAAAATACTCCACTGCCCCCTAAAGAGTCAACTCCAAGTAAAATTACGGAGCATACAGTGTTTTGTTTTGCTTTGGTTCCAGTCTACCTCCTCTTTCTGTAGGCTCCGCATCTCCATTTCCTTCCCTTCACCCTAAATCCCGAGGGGTCTTGCTGTCTAGTTCACTGCAGCACCTGTCCACTTCTGCCCTCTTTCTTATCTTCCAAAATAGCCTGTCCCAGTGACCTTGCGCCACTCTCATTTCCTGGGATAGCTGATATCGGCTAATTTTTAGGAGTCAGCATGAGTCTAAGCCAGTCCACAGGTGACCACAATGAATGGCCCCTCTCTTTGCTCTGTTTGTCTCCTCACTGCGATTTCAAAGGCTCATCTCCAACAGTGAAATAGGCAGCAATTGCAAAGTAGTAAGGTATTTCCAGTGCACACCCAGTTGTACCTTCCTGCAGGGAGTTCCCTGCTCTTTCTTGCAGTTAGGCTGGCCCCAGATACGACCGGGGTCATGACTCCCAGGATACTCACTGCTGGATAGAGGGAGCAGGCTGCAGGGGTGAAAACTAGACAGGTCACCAGGCGGAGGTGGCAGAGCGGGCCAGCCATCCCTGCAGGCAGTGACTTGGTCGTCCCAGCTACTCTACTAGTCTGACTTCACTGCTTGGCACCATTCTTGGAATGGATGCAAAGGTTTTTCCTTTGCCCAGAAAATCTCGTCTAGCTCCCTCTCCCCTGGACCCCTGAGGGCTGCTGGAGAGGAACGCACCTCCAGAGCCTGCGTGCTGCTATCTTAAGGGCTCTGTGGGCTCCAGGCCTCCCACGCATCAACATTCTTTCCTATTTAGCCAGAGAGGGATTTCCTCACCGTTTTCACTCCTGCCAAGACCCAGTCCCACCTCTGCTGCCCTCCTACCAGACTCCCTCACTCAGCAAATAACCTTGGCTCATCCGAGGGGGGCCCTCCGCTTCTCTCACCTGCCTGCTCTCCCTGCCTGTCCCTCCCTCCTTCCTGCCCCCTCTTCCTCTCCAAGGCCAACGCCCTTTGTCTCTGACCTTGACCTGGAGTCCTCCTACAAACCCACAGGCTTTCTTCTACCATGCGTCTTCTCTTTCTGGCCCAGTGGCTCTCTCCACATAGGTTGTGAATAGCCCCTGGTCTCCTTGAGTGGAGACTAGTCTGTGGCCCATTCTCCTCTGAGCTGCCGTCACATCCTCCTACCCCTCCGGTGCTTCCTCTTTGAACCTTCGCTCTCAGCCCAGGTGTGCATGGGCCCATCCTCACTCTCTCCCCGACTCCCACCACAGGCTTCCTGGAGGTCGTGTCCGAAACCCTCTTTCCCTGTGGTCACTATGCGCATCCTCCATGCTGCACTGTAACAACCCCAGCCGAGGCCTGAAGCCTCCCGTTTGCCCCTTGCAGTGGTCCTTCTCCGTCGTGATTCTTCTCTAACCCTTGAACTCACTGTGCTTCCTTTACTGTGTGTGTCTCTCCTCCTTTCGTCCCCTCTCCCCATCCTCCTGCTTTCCAAACATGCAGGTTCTGTCCTGGCTTAGAGTCCATTTCCTCCACAAACACTCTCTTGTCTTTCTTCCCCTTTATTCTGACTTCATCTGTGAATAACATGTAAGTTGGCACTTTTAGGAGTTACCTCTTTTCTGAACTTCGGATTTTCCTCCCTCCCTCCCATCCTCCCACCCTCCCTCCCTTCTTTCCTCTCATCTATTCAGTAGATATTTACTAAGCATCTTCTGTGGGCCAAGTTCTGTACCATAAAATTAAAACAGCGATCACAGTAAAACGTGCTAAGTGCTGTGAGGTGGGAGGTACAGGATGTTACGGGAGCACCCAGCAGAGACACCTAAATCAGAATGCGAGAAGGGAGGGTGAGGAAAGGCTCTCCCTAAGGAAGTTGTGTTTAGGAGGAGATGTGAGGAGGGGTAGCCTGAAGGGCAGGGTGAGTTTTGGGGGAAAGTCTGGTGACTTCTGCCGCCTCGCCCCTCTCATTCCTTCTTGCAAGCATATCCTCACCTCACTAGGCATCCCCTGGTGACAGACACTTCATACTGGACAGGTTTCAAACTGAACGGATTATCTCTTCCTGTTCTTCCGGTGCTGCTGTGTCAGCAAAAGCCACGCCAGTATTGTTTCCCTAAGTTTCCATAATGTCACACCTGACTCCTCTAGTTTGCTACCCCCTCACACTGGCTCCACCATCTGTGTCTTCTTCTCCTTCTGTCATTCCCATTCAAAAATCCCTTGCTCTTGTGTACTTCCCTGGTGGTCCAGTGGTAAAGAATCTGCCTTACAATGCAGAGAATGCAGATCTGATCCCTGGTCAGGGAACTAGGATCCCACATGCCGTGGGGCAACTAAGCCCGTGCGCCACAACTACTGAGCTTGAACGCCTCAACGAGAGACCCCACGTGCCTCAAACTATAGAGCCCGTGAGCGCCTGGAACCCGCACCACAACTACAGAGAAGCCTGGGCACCACAACGAAGATCCCGCGTGTCGCAACTAAGACCTGCAATTAAGACCTGATGCAGCCCAAAATAAATAAAATAAAAAAATCTTAAAAAAAAATCCCTTGTTCTTATAGCCCTTCTTTTTCTTGCCGAGACCTCCAGTCTCACCCTCATTCAATCAATCCACAGACTTCCACTTTTAGATATTTTCCTGAAGTATTTTGAATATCACTCTTTCCTCAAAAACTGTCAAATCACCATAAAATAACATATGCAACTCTGGTGTCATGAGCTTCTACCATTTGCCTCAACCAGGGGAAACAGCTACCCTGAAGGACTTTTTATTGGTCTCACTCAGTAAGAATCCTTTCAAGATGCTGCCTGCAAGGCCCAGATGAAGGAAGCCTCGATCCTCTCCCTCTTCTTACTTCCCCCTCCCAGTG